TGCTGCGGAGCCTATTGGACCCAGCGTATACCTTGAGAAGGCTATAGGGGTCTGATCAACCTCTGGCCTCTCCCCGTCACCGAACGATCCCTCGATGAACCCCTTCCCTGCGTGCAAGTTCCACGGAGCCTAGCAAACTTCGTGTGAGTGAATCCAGAGCTCTTTTCTCCGAGTTGTTTTCTTCAGTTGACACGACGGGCTCGCGTGTTTAGAGCCTTCAACCGGATTGGGCTAGAGGTTTGCGTGGAAGGAACTCTTGTCCGCCTCTCTTCTTTTCTGTCTGTAACCGCAACTCAAGCAAGTTTTCCTGCCTGCACCGCGACCATCTTCGGTGTAAGTAAAATAATCTTTAATCAACCGCTAAGCGTCCGTGCCTAATTCTAGTCCGCCGGCCTGCATTCCCCGACCCGTGTGCCAGGGCTGCTGGCCACAGCCCGCCGCGCGCCCCCGAGAACCTCGGACCGCTCCCGGCCCACACAAGTATGTTGCAGCATTTCAGCATTAATCCATATCCTTAATCAAAAGAAAAGTGAATGATAGTGCAGCGAGTGCAGCGAGGATCCAGCCTGTTTATCCAAGCCTATTATCGGTACAGCACAGTATTCGCAGATTTCCCCATTTGTAGGGATCTCTAGAACTTATACCCTGAGAATGGCGAGTGTCTCCTGTATATGAGGTCAGTGATGTTACTAAGAATTTGTGTCAGTCTTCAGAGAAAAAGTAAAACTGATAATGTTAAAGAGAACTTGCCAAGCAGAGACCATTTACTTACCAACAGCTTTTCATTACTGGACTATATTCCCTCTTTTCTGTTATAAAAGCTCTTCAAGGTCATTGGAACACCATTTTTCCCATTACTAAAGATCAAATGGCCTGCTATGGTGAAGATTATAGTCCACTTGATAGCAATGTTCTTCTCATTCTTATTTTCCCTGCAGGAAATAATAAAATATGTTATTGACAAAGATACTTGCCTGATTCTTCTCTAAAAGGTGACACTACATGATGCATCATCGGGTTTTATGTTTATTGTCTCTCAGTGATGCCCTAATAGGTATTTGCTTTAGCTTTTTTTTCTGAATGATACTCTATAACCTCACTTTGGGTTCTGAATTCTCTCTTTCACTGCCCATCAGCAGTAATAATAATACTGCAGAAAAAAATATGCCCTCAGAGACAACTACACAATATTAATGGTCTCCAGTTAATGTGCATAGCTATCATGTGGCCTAATGCTCCCTGCTATTACTAACTTATGCTCTTACTTTATCAGATCTTATAAGCAAAGCAGATTGGAATATGGCATTCAAATAAGAGATTTTTTAATTTTCTGCCATGTTTTAGTTTCCCAAAAAGTTTGTATCAAGTACTCAGAATGGCACAAGCTCCCCATCCTGATGAGAGGCAACATGTAAAACCCCCAAAAGATATAGGTCAGAGGGAGCTCTTTGAGTCTTTCAGAGAATATCTATGCCAATCAGTGCACATATTAAATCTCTAAATTATCCCCCATATTATTCTTCACTCTGCTTCAGGTACTGTTAGGGAAAGGAAGAGTTTGTTGCTTCTGTCACCCTAATTAAATCTCTAAACATGGTTTCCTGCATCTCAGTTAACTTGAATGAGCTTTGAAAGCATACTACCAAGAGACTACAACTAAACCTTTGATCACAGACTGTTTCGATGGATTTAGTGAGGGGAGTACAGAATGTTAAGGATTAAAGTAAAGGGTCCCAAACATAACACCTAAACCTCTTCTCTCACTTTGAAATGAAGCTGACGACATGTTACAGCGAAGACAGAAGTTACAGAGGAGGAAATAGTACAGGCAGTCCTCAACTTACAACGTTTTGAGTTACAAAGTTTCGCACTTACAATGTTTATAAATTGACACCCTGTTTCAACTTCCTGACATCAGTTTCAACTTTACAATGCTTGATCTGATATGATGCCACACCATCGAACAAGTTCTCTGTGTCACCCATCTCCCTGGAGAACATCTCATCCAAACTTCCTTGGTCACTTTCTTTAAGAAAGCAGACAAGACTCCAGAAAAACCTGCAGCCATAGATTCATAGATGTTAGGGTCGATAGGGACCTCAATAGATCATCGAGTCCGACCCCCTGCATAGGCAGGAAAGAGAGCTGGGTCTAGATGACCCCAGCTAGATGGTTATCCAACCTCCTCTTGAAGACCCCCAGGGTAGGAGAGAGCACCACCTCCCTTGGGAGCCCGTTCCAGACCTTGGCCACTCGAACTGTGAAGAAGTTCCTCCTAATGTCCAATCTAAATCTGCTCTCTGCTAGCTTGTGGCCATTATTTCTTGTAACCCCCGGGGGCGCCTTGGTGAATAAATACTCACCAATTCCCTTCTGTGCCCCCGTGATGAACTTATAGGCAGCCACAAGGTCGCCTCTCAACCTTCTCTTGCCGAAGCTGAAAAGGTCCAGTTTCTCTAGTCTCTCCTCATAGGGCTTGGTCTGCAGGCCCTTAACCATACGAGTGGCCCTTCTCTGGACCCTCTCCAGGTTATCCGCATCCCTCTTGAATTGTGGCGCCCAGAATTGCACGCAGTACTCCAACTGCGGTCTGACCAGCGCCCGATAGAGGGGAAGTATCACCTCCTTGGGCCTATTTGTCATGCAAGAGGAGCCAAGACTCCTGAGAAGACTCCAGCCAAGAACCCTTCAAAAAGCCCAACCAAGAGCCCTTCAAAAAGTTCTGAGTTACAACGTTTCGACTTAAGACACGGTTTTCAGGAACCAATTGTATCATCAGTCCAAGTACTGCCTGTACTCGACCTTTAATTATTTGTCCTATTCCAACCTTGTCACTGAATTTTCAGCTCAATAGCTGGACATCCAGCTTTTATTTCAAAATCTTAAAAGAAATGCTATTTCTTGTGCTCTTCTGAATTCTCTCTACCATGTTTTGTGCATACATCTCATCTTCTACTCTTCCATCCTACATAACTAAATATTAGGGTTAGAATTAACAAAATGCTGTATAAACATTTCTTTCCTCCTACATCCAACAGAAAACTGCTACTCATCTTGACTGCATTGAGGTAAGAAGCACAGGCACCAGCATTAGCATAGGCCAGCTCATAACTGACTAGAGGTATGCCTAGACTGGCACCGGATATAGGATTAATTGCAGCATGAAGGGGTGTACCCAAGGTATCTTAATTCTAGCCAGTTGGGGTACCATTAGCAGCTGAGACATAGGCAGAACAGGCCTACATGGGACTTTGTGTACTGTCACGGTACTGCCATGTCTTCACTCCTATTGATACCCAGGCTAGCTAGATTAAGGTTAGCTCAATCATTCCTATGGGCTGCAATCACACTTTCTGTTGCAGGATAGGGAGACCTGAAGGGGTGGTAATATAGTTGAGTTCCTGTAGGCCTGCTTGTAAACAAAATTGGAGTGAAATCTTTGACTCCACTTGAATATGATTAAGGACCAGCTGAGTTTCATCTAGCAGGCAGGTTAGTACCATCTGACAGGGATCTAGTGTTGCCAGTCATGCTCTGCATGCACTGAGTCGTGCTGCTGTCAGTTTTTCCAGCTCTTTTGTGTGGCAGCTACTGCGTGTGGCTAATCTGTAGTGTTCAGAAAAACCCAGGACAAAGCATTGCTTGTAGAACTGACAGGACCTGTGCAGATGCTGAAAAAGAGGATACTCTTGTTTTGTGAAGGCATATGATCTCCTTAAGGCAAAGGATACACATCCTGTGCAGATGGCTGCTGCTATTAAGACATAGGGCTGCGCAAATCAGCACCGTTTTGTTTCAACTTCTGTTTCACCATTTGGATGGGACGCTGTTTCATTTTGAGTTTCATTTAATTTCGAAAGCACTGTTTCATTTCGTTGAAACTTTTGCTATTTCAATGCTGTTTTGATGTTTTGCCCACAGGCTATAATGGGGGAGAACTGACCTGCCTATAACTTTGACATTTCTTGCCTTTTTCAGATGAAATTTGCAGGGATTGTAGCTCCTTCTGAGGCCATGAAGTCTGCCAGTTTTTAAGGAGAGAGGTGCAGGGGTTTTTGGGGAAACTGCACCTCAAGCTGCTGACAAGCACAATTCATGACTTGTGACTGTGTGTGTGTTAAGGTGCAGCGGGGTGATAACTACAGGCATGGTAGCCTTGACTGAGGCCATGAAGCTTGCCAGCTTTCAAGGAGATAGGTGCAGGGATTTCTGGGAAACTGTCCCTCAGGCTGCTGACAAACAAAACTTGTGACATGTGTGAGTTTGTGTGTGTGTTAAGGCACACCCTCACTGGCACTGGTCCCTTGACACGACACGGTAGTGTGCCCCAATGAGGTTTCCTCCTCCCCTACAGCCTCCACCACTTTAAATGACAACAGGTAAAATAATAACTTAGTGAGAAGCAGCACAGTAGCATCAGCAGCATCTCAGGCAGCCAAACTGTGACAAGCCTTTCTTTCCCCTCCTGCAGGAGCTTCTTTTCCAGCAGCTGCCAGAGAACTCTCTCTGCCAGCCCCAGCCCTAGGGCTTAGATGTGCCCAGGGCCTTGCATCCTTCCAGTCAGGTGCTAGGGGTGTTGGTCTAAGGACAAGGCACTGGCAGACAAGATCCTTTGGGTCAATCTAATATGGTATCTTTTAGCAGACCAACTGAATAGTTACAGAAGTATATCTTAGCAAGCTTTTGGGTTGAAAAACCCTTTGTCAGGCTGAGGAAGCACCTGCAATTAGTGTGTGTGTTGTTCCTGGATGGAAGGAATAGTAAAGAAACCAAAGGCTGGCATGCAATGCAGGCAAGAAATCCAGTCAGTGAAAATGGAAATGGAGGTATCAGGAGGTGAGGGACAGGCTGGGGGGGGAGGGGTGGGGAGAGAAGGGGGATGTAGCAGCGCAGGTAAAAGTGGAGAGGTACCTGGGGAGTCAGATGTCCGGCAGGTTGTAGTGTGTCAGAATTCCAATGTCAATATTGAGTCCATGAGTTTCTGTGCCTAGGAGACTGATGAAGTGCAGTTTATAGTCTCATCTGTGAAAAGTCTCTGCACGTGTTCTGTTTGAGAGTCCAATATTGAAACATTCTTTGCTGCAGGTTTCTACCCACACTAGTGATACTGCTATTGCCTGGGATCTCTGGAGGGAAAGTCCATGTAAGAGCTAAGGATTATCATTTATAATGTCTGTCTACAGCAGTGGTGACGTGTGGAGGGTGCACAGGGGTGCACATGCTCCCCCTGAGAGTGCTGGTGCACCCCCTGACAGGGAGCCCTCCCTGCTTAGGCAACAGGCGGGGGGCAGACAGGAGTGCCGGAGCTCCCCCTGCAAATGTTGGCCGGGGAGTACGGGTGCCAGATGGAGCCCCGCTGGCACTTCCAGGAGTGCCGCTCCTGGTCAGCACGATCGGCCACGGGGGGGGGGGTATGTGCCCCCCCGACTCAGGTGGCACCAGTTGTCCATGGTCTATAGTGACCAAACTGTTTCATGGCATTCTCTCTTGCATGAGTAGACAAGAAAATCCTGCTTGCCATTGTTGTCCCCTTGTTCCTCCTCCTCCTTCCTGCCAGTGCTTTCTCTCTCAACTGTTTGTGCAAAGAAGTTGCTAAAAGCGTAAAGAGACCTGAAGCTTTAGCATGAAAAGATTGGGCATGATGAGGGGCAATCCTGCTGCTAAGCCCCTGCAAGTCTTCTTAATAGCAAAGGCAGGCAGGGAGGCAAAGATGCTTGGCACTTAGAATGGGTGAGCCAGTCAGATAGGATGCTCCAGCATAGTCCTTGCCATTTGCATTGCTGGAACAGTGGGCAGCTTTGCTCAGAAAGGAGCC